ATGTCAAATACTAGTTGGAGCAGGGACCTTCAGGGGCCAGCACAAGGGCAAGCTGGTACTGTCCCTGAGGGACAGCAGAACTCCTGGTCCTTTGGACCTGCTGCAGGGGAAGCTCTGGATGGAATTTTTGAGACGGGATCTATTGAGGAGAGAAAGGCTGAGTGAACATGCCCAGGAATGAGGAGGATTCTTTGAGATTAGGGGAAGATAGGGAAAGAAGAGTACGGCAAAAAAAGAAAATTTGGGGGGAAGGAGAAGAGACTTTAAGATTTTATTTTTAAGTAATCTCTACAGCCAATGTAGGGCTTGAACTCAGCCCTGAGACCAAAAGTCACATGCTCCGACAACTGAGCCAGCCAGGCACCCCCAAGAAGAGATGGTTTTTGAAAAAGGCTATGTTTAGGGACACCGGGGTGGCTCAGTCAGTTAAGTGTCCGACTCTTAGCTCAGAGGTCTTGATCTCGGGGTCATGAGGTCAAGCCCTGGAGTTCAAGCCTTGTGAGTTCAAGTCCTGTGCCGGGCTCCACACTGGGCATGGAGCCTACTTAAAAAAAAAAAAAAAAAAAGTAAAATATAATAAGAGGTATGTTTAAGAAGTTTTGTTATCTCCCCACCCTGCTACTTTTCTCATAAAATCAGCAGAAAAATCTACAATTTTTTCAAAAGTTTGAAGACGGAATTCTGGGGCAGGGAACATAGCACTATTTGGAGACTGGTTTCATAGAAGGAAAAGGGAGGCACAGGGAGGCTGAGCTGGGGTGATAAGAGAATTATATAAGACAATACATAAAAGCACCTGGCAGCAATCAATAAATATAAGCCTTCTTAATCTTTTAATGGAGTTCATATAGTTTATTTTTACTTATTTATTTTTTAAGTTTTTCTTTTATTTAAGTGGGGCTCAAACTCAGAACCCCCAAATCAAGAGTCACATGCTCTTCTGACTGGGTCAGCCAGGCGCCCCAAAGTTCAGTTTAAACGACTTGCTCAAGGTCACCATGCTTCTGAACTTGGCTTAATGTTTTTTCTTGAACCATATTGCTTCTTAACTTACGTGCCTGCTGTTGGGTCAGTGAGTGACACTTAGAGAGCAAACTGCACATTTACAAGACTTGCAAATGTTCTAAGATGACTTTTGGTTTTAGCTAACAGATACACAGAGTAGGTGAGTAGGTCATGGTCTTATTTGTTGCTCATATTCTCTGCCCGGGTGTGGAGATTTGCAGGCTGATACTTTTCACTTTTTATCTCCAGGCCTTCATTAACTGGGTCATTCTAGTTCTAAAATCTGTATCTGTAAGCCTCGTCTAGGAGCTAATGCTCTGCTGTATCATACAGCAGCTCCCCACCTCTGTAATTTTGTTCCTTTTTAATACGATGTGCCATCAAGTATAATGCATGGGACATAAGCCTCAATTATTGTCAGCATACTTGGGGACTCATACCAATTATGGTGATATTTCTCTGACAGGTCCCAGGCAAGCTGCAGCTTGGAGTTCTTTAACACCGAGAAACAAAGCTTTTCTTTATGGGAGGTTTTCTAATAGCATTTGAGTTCCTTTAGTTTAAAACTGTACTGTTTTTTTTTTTCATTTAGTTGTGGCAATCTATTGCTTTATATAAAGACACACATTTAATTTATATTGTTATAATTTAATATACTTTAGAATATACTAATTATAGTGAACCTTGATTCCTCACAACTTGGTTTGGTGAAGGATACGAAGCTTCAAAGCAGAGTCATCCAACAAAAGTATTAGCCTTTGCTACCTTGTCTGGCTCTCAGGTCACTTCACTATAAATCTCCCTTCTCCAGCTCCTACAATTGTTTCTTTCTGTCCTCTCTCTCTGTCCCCTTTCATTGTCTTAGTGGAGTCAATTCAAAATGGTTTTACTCTTTTTGAAACTGTCTACGAATTTAAGAAAAAGAACCCCTATCTGATCTAATTTCCACAGATTTCCTTTGCCTTCTCACCCCAGATAGACAGTTTTGGCCTCTGCAGTGTTCCCTCCCCACACCTGAAGAAAGAACACTGCTCTTTAACTCGTACTGTTTTATTTGAATGCAACCCACTTCCTCCCTCTGAGCCAATGAGTCATTTTCTCTTTTTAAAGTGAGCCCTGAAAATCTTCCATTTCTCTCCAGTTTAAAATTATTCTCTTTGTGAAGTACTTTATGTCCTGTGTATGAAAGACACCCTATAAAATGGAGAATATTGCCTTAACTACTCAAGGACTACAGATAATGCATGACCTACCAAGTCTTCACAATTCTGAGTTAAATGGACACCACTTATTTTCTTCTTTATGGAGTCAAGGCACATAGTCTCTTTTGTGCAGTAGTGAATTCCCAGAATCTTGATACATAGATTTTCAATAAGTATTTACTGCACGAATAAATGGTTGATCTCCCCATCCTCAGTCTTTTTAACTTGCTTAATACCATTCATGTAGTTAATATTTTTCACATTGGACTCTCCTGTGATTAAATACTCATAAAAAGGGTATTGAAAAGGGAGAAATACAAATTGCAGAAGATGCAACAATACTCTTAGGGTTAGTTTAGAAAATGCCTGAAGGGGGCACCTGGGTGGCTCAGTGGGTTAAGCCTCTGCCTTTGGCTCAGGTCACAATCTCAGGGTCCTGGGATCGAGTCCTGTATCAGGCTCTCTGCCAGCTGCTCTGCCTACTCTCTCTCTCTGTGTCAAATAAGTAAATAAAAATCTTTTAAAAAAAGAAAATGCCTGAAGGGGAGTGCCTGGCTGGTTTGGTCAGGGGAGCCTGTGACTTTGGATCTCAGGGTTGTTGGTTTGAGCCCCACACTGGGTATAGAGGTTACTTAAAAATGAAGTCTTTTTAAAAAATTAAAAAATAGGGGTGCCTGGCTGGCTCCATCAGTGGAGTATGCACCTTGGTTGTGGGTTTGAGCCCCACTTTGGGTGTAGCAATTACTTAAAAATAAAATCTACAAAAGAAAGAAAGAATAAAACAGAGAATGCCTAAAGAGAGATACATTCGTTTCAATACAATTTACATAATTTACATTGGATTGAATATCTTCAAATACATATGTCATTGACCCGTTTTATCTGCTACTAAATGATGTGTTGCCTTGGTTTTAAATATTGCGCTCATCAGAGTAATAACCGATTTAAGCAAGAACCTTCCATGGATGCTAAAACCAACTGGTAAGAGCTAACTGCAGGACATGATATTCACACACATCTCAGATTACTCTAACACAAATCACTTATTCATTATAAAAGCAAAAAGGTCTTTTACAATGGAGAAATTTTGTGAACACCATCGTAATCCCATGACCAAACTTCACATCACTAATAATGGGACAAACCACCATCATGTGCTTCTTGATATGATCTATGGAGAAGGCCATAGTATTGCTTATGTAATCCTCCTGCCAAAATGTTTAACATTTTAAATCATGAAAAATACCCTCCAAATTGAGGGATGTTCTGAAAAACAGTTGACCTGTGCTCTTCAAAACTGTCACTCTCGGGGCGCCTGGGTGGCTCAGTGGGTTAAAGCCTCTGCCTTTGGCTCAGGTCATGATCCCAGAGTCCTGGGATTGAGCCCCACATCGGGCTCTCTGCTCAGCGGGGCGCCTGCTTCCACCTCTCTCTCTGCCTGCCTCTCTGCCTACTTGTGATCTCTGTCTGTCAAATAAATAAATAAAATCTTAAAAAAAAAAACCACACACAACTGTCAGTGTCATAAAAGCTTAACAAATGCTGAAGAGTCGTTCTGATGAGAGGAGACTCAAGAGACAAGACAACTAACTCCAGGCCGTGTGTGATACTAAATTAGTCTTGAATCAAAAACAAAATTTAAAAACCCCGGCAACTATAACGGACATTTTTGAGACAATTGGAGGCGCTGGAATATAAATGTATGTTAGAAAACACGAGTGTGCCATTGTTAAATTTCCTGATGGTGATAGTTACCCTGTGGTTATACAGGAGAATCTTCTTGTTCTTCCAAGAAGTATGCTGAATTATTAAGAGGAGAAGGGTCCTAATGTCTGTAAATAATTCTCAACAGTTCAGGTGGAAAACCTCTTAAATGGTTCACCAAAAAACACACACATGTATATTTGAGTATGTGTGTGTGCGTACAGAGAGAGTTTACATGTATGCATATACACAGGGACACACAAAACATCAGAGGAAAAAAAATGTAGCAAATGTTTACAATAGAAGAACTTAGCTGAATGATATATGTATTCATTGTACTAGTCTTGTAACTTTTCTCTGGTTAAACAATTTTCTAAATAAAAACTTGCTGGAAAGATCGACATCACGAATTCAGGGTAATTTTGATCGCTTATTCAGATACATAATGCTCAAAATGTTTGATCGTGGCAACTAATCATTCTTTGAATTTTCTGTTTTCATCATCCTACTTTATTTAGCTCTCCTTGCCTTTCTGTTCACGGCCATCTGTCAAGCAAAGCCATCAAAAAGTATGTGATGTGCACGAACACCTCAACAGATTCTGAACATGCCTAAGTGCGAACTGAAATTCTGTTTCTTCTAACAGGAGACTTCTCTCATTGGACCTCTTATAAATGTATCCTTGTATATCCTGCAGAGAGCCTCCTTTTTTTTTTTGTTTTTGTTTTTGTTTTTAGGCTGATGGCTTATCAGTACAATAAAAGCCATTCATGTAAATGGGATATAATTTTTTATCTTTTTCTTATTGTCCTCTAATATCCTTTTAGCCCTAGACAAAAGAGGAGCCCAAAGTATCTCTGAAAATGGTTAAAACTATTGCTTTATTCTATAGAGAACTAGAGAAAAATAGATTCCGGATAACAAGTGATATTTGCAATTATGAAGTAATATTCACCGTGTAATAGAGTAATTTGTGATATATTTGTGCCCACATTGGGACTAATCATTTTGGAATTATTTTCTGTTCTTCACTCTAACGCTTTTGATATTAACCTTTGGGAAATACAAAAGCAGAATATTGGGGCTTACGTCATAGTTGCTCCTGGATCAGCAGTCATTTGATTGGTCACAAACACAGCCACGTTATATTCTGCATCGAGAAATAAAATTAAGAAACTAATGATGGCAATATAAAAAGTTCACTGCTTAGATTTCAGAGTTTAGAAATACTGTGCTATGAATTGATTTTATAAACAGTATTACATTCCTATTTTTTCATTGGTAACATAGATTAACTTCCTTAAAATTATTATTGTTATTACTATTTAGGTACTTACTGTATCAGAATCAGTATTTTGATTAAAAAAAAAAAAGAGTTGCATTCCCATGAAGGTAAATTTATTTTTAAACGTGTATTGCCTCCTGACATTATTCTGAGCTTCTCTGTGAAGCCTACTCAACAGTCATGATGCTATTCTGATAGCACCACTTATTTTAAAAATCTACCTTCTGAGATTTTTTGGAGTCGTGACAACATCTGGGCCAATTTTTGCTGCCGTTCAGCCAACTCCCCACGACCACTGAAATCCACTCGAAAAAGTGCCATTATTGAATCAATGATCTGCACAGGATTAATGTAAAAATAAATATGGAAATGGAAATAAATTAATTTGGATTGGAATCAATAGAAGAAAAATAACACGCTAAATAGCTCTGCAAGGGAGCAGTATAGAAAAGCTTGTACCAATAGCTTGAAGATGCCGGCTTCTTCATGGAACTTTGCTGCTACATAATCAAGTAGCTCCATCTGATGTTCACCTGGTGGGAAATGCAGTGAGAAAATGTTATAACAGCTAGAAGAAGCAGAGGCTAAAATCATTTATGGTCCTGGAGGCAAGCAAAAGAGAGTCCTGAAAAGATTTTCTTTATTATTCATGGCTTTATTAAATATGATTTCACATTATGCCTTAGCATGCATGCCAAAGGCTACATTATCCAAAAAGGATGTTACTCTCCATTTCAAAGACAAGAACAAGAAGTCATCTGAGGGCATTTTAATACCTCAGGGCTTGCCAGATGATAAAATCTGTGGACTGACTAAATAAATTTGGAGGAAAGCAAAACGCAAAGAGAACAGAACAGCATCAAAATGTTGTAAGGATCAACTCAATAGCAAATCAGTGCCGCCAACCTTGAAACAGCCCAAGCAGCAGTTACAATGGGGCTCTTACTGGTATATGCACGGGCATAAAGGACGTTGTCCAGTACGGCGTCATGGTCTACATTGAAGCGGTCAGCAATGTCCCGAAGGCGATCTGGACGGCTGGAGCATGCCAAGATTAAGGATCCAATAAATCAATTCCAAAAAAAGCTTAGAACAACTACAAAAAATAATACCTTAAGTAAGTAAACTAACAGAGAGGCAAACATCATACCTGGAAAGGTATTCTGAAAGATGCGAATAACCACTTAAAATCTGTATCAGATTTTTCCTTTTCATAAGTGCCCAAATTAATAAATAACTCAGTGTATAACAATGATAGAAATGATGAACACTGATGAATTTAAATACTGAATACTCTGATCTTTACAATAGCTTTGGAACCTAGTTGTTATGGCCTATATTACATTTTACAAATGAGGACACTGACAGAGATTAGGCAAATGACTCAGGATTATGCAGCAAATCAGTTACGAGGAAAAAACCAGACACTAAGATTTGTGACTCTCTTTTGATTTCAGTATAAAAATAGATCTATTCTAGGAAGATAATATCACTGAATTATAACTCAAGTCACTTCAAAGTGAATTAATTCACTCTCTTTAAATTCCTCGCTTGTTCAATATGAAGTAATTTAAGATACTGTTAACCATGAGTTGCCAACAAATGATAAATTTGACTACATGAACCAAAGGATCAGTAAGTAATTTCAAGGATCATGGGGTGCCTGGCTCAATCGTTTCAACATGTGACTCTTGATCTCGAGGTTGTGAGTTCGAGCCCTACTTTGGGTGTAGCGATTACTTAAAAAAAAGAAAAATCTTAAAAAAAAAAAAAAAGAATTTCAAGGATCAGAAGGAAATTAGCAACCTATGGTTTTTGGTCTGTTTAGGGTTTAAAATCTCCCTTCTTCTAAAAGACTTGTGTTAGCTTTCTGAAATTAGTAAATTCATAGGGAGGCAAATTCAGTGTACCTGCAAACGTTTTTTGGAAGATGTTAATAATCACTTATAGCTATCTAAACAATAAAGAAGTAATCCACATTTTTTTAGGTCTTCGGTGATCCAAATATGGCTACAGTATTCTCTGAATTGATGTGAGCTAAAATAAAATCCATGTCTGTGTTCTCATTTCACTTTGTTTACAGTGTTTGTATAGTACTGATCACACTACAACTGTAAAATGAGGACAATTTACGATTTTATTTGTGATGTTTACAACTAGCTCCGTGTATGTAGAATTAGATTGTCTTTACAATTCCCCAGCCATCTATATCCTAATGCACTACATGTGTTCTTTTCTTCAGAGCTTCAGTGACAACCACTAAAATCTTCCACTGCTCCTGAGTTTACCCAGGAGATATTTTTGGTGGACAGGTCAAAGCTGGCAGAGAATTGGAAGACACAGTAAAAATGCTTTTCAGCACATCACTTTTTACAGAATCTGGTTACTATGTGACTGAAAGTGTAAAAGTTGGGCTTATGCTGAAGGGAAGTTCAAATCAATTTTTAAATATTTGTTAGCCGATTACTATATGGAATTGATTACTATTTTAACCAATTACCAGTGCATTGCGGTATCATATACAGAGTTGTAAAACAATCCTTATTATGGGTAAATGTAAAACATAAATAAGAAGGCAAAATATAAACATATAAAAAGGAAAATATCAGGAGAGAGTAGTGTATACGTAAGAGCAACTAAAGGAGGGGCGCCTGGGTGGTGCAGTGGGTTAAGCGGCCAGTTTTTGGTTTTGGCTCAGGTGATGATGTCATGATCCTGGGATCAAGCCCCACAACAGGCTCTGTGTTCAGTGTGGAGTCTGCTTGAGGTTTTTTTCTTCCTCTTCTTCTACCCTTCCCCCTGCTCATTCTCTCGCTCTCTTTCTAAATAAATAAATAAAATCCTTAAAGAAAAAAGAAAAGAAAAGAAAAGAAAAGAAAGAAAGAAACTAAAGGAATGAGAACATTCCATTGGGGCTCTTGAATGTCCTTGTTCCCCTAAGCTGTCCTCCTTACTCCTTCTTGCAGAAGACTTGGCTCCTAACTGTTCCTCTCTATCATTCTTGATAAAATCCAAATTGCCCAGGGATGCCTGAGTGGCTCAGTTGGTAAAGCCTCTGCCTTCAGCTCAGGTCATGACCCCAGGGTCCTGGGATGGAGTCCTGCGTTGGGCTCTCTGCTCAGCGGGGAGCCTGCTTCCCCTCTCTCTCTGCCTGCCTCTCTGTCTACTTGTGATCTCTGCCTGTCAAATAAATAAATAAAATCTTTTAAAAAAGAGACAGAGAGACACAGTGAGAGAGGGAACACAAGCAGGGGGACAGGGAGGAGCAAACTCCCTGCTGGGCAAGGATCCTGATGTGGGGTTAGATCCCAGGACCCTGGGATCATGACCTGAGCCAAAGGCAGACACTTAACAACTGAGCTACCCAGGCGTCCCTAGATAGTAAATTCTATAACAGATTAAGAAGGATGAGGTTATTTACGTTGGGTATTTAGAGAAGATTAGAAAAGGTAGGCCTTCAAAGGAGAGCCTCAAAGGATTTGTGTGATTCAGGAAGACTGAGGTAGGGACAGACGGATCAAATATCCAAGGAGGATAGAAATATACCATGCAATTCCTCTAAGACTGGCCAGATTCACATTTAAGAGTGAGAGCAAAATAAAGGCATTTTCAGACATGCTAGGGCTCAAAGCTTACCACCCAGATTACTTTTCTGAAAGAATGACTTGAATAGGTATGCAGAGAAAACAAAGATACGGGGAAGAAAATTAATGAATACCTTTATAGTTAAGACTAACTAATTGCTGATGTACAAAGTTTTCATGTTTTAGAGACAATTTTAGAGAACAGATTGGATCCCTTTGCCTCTACTAGTGGTAATAGGCAGTAGTGAGCTTGGAGAGCTAGGTTGGGGCTTCATTGTGAATGGCCTTACAAACTTGTGTGCAAGTCTTTTCTACTGTTAAAAACAATTTCCGCTGAACCTGATACCTCAAACTACTGTATTTCTTCTTCTGTTTATTGGTTAATAGCACACTGGCTCCATTCTTTACTGTTCATTTGCAACAAGCTTCCATCATCTTCTGTAACTGCAAATGCTCTCTTGGATTCCTAATTTCAAATCTCAGTGATCTTTCTCAGTTTGTGCCTTCTCTTTCTCTTGCTGACTACCCTTTTCTTCTTTAAACTTTCCTTTTGCTTAGCTTCTACGACAGATTTCCTTCTACTTCCTCTGTCTCTATGGCATCCTCTTTTTTAGTCCCTCTTTCTAAACTTAGGCACACAGGGAAGTGATAGTCTCAGTTCTCCTCTTGTCTAAGTTCTCCCACCCTTTTGTTTATTCCATCTATATTATCTCTGGCTCTACCCCTTCTCAGACAGAGTCCAACATTTCCAACTGCCATGTGGATGTCCTCCTGTTCCTCATACTTAACACACGGAAATGAAACACACCTTTTGTCTGAACCATGACCCTCCCAATTCTGTCTTTATCACATTTCTCTCCCAATATCTAGATAAAAAACCTGATAGTTCTCAAACTTCTCTTTCATTTGTCTACCAAATACAGTCATCAAGTCCTATCAATTTTCCTAATATTTCTTGTCCCCTTTTCCTTTTTAAGATTCTTATTTTTACATGATCTCTATACCCAACATGGGGCTCGAACCTACAACCTTGAAGTCAAGAATCACATACTCCCCTGATTGACCCAGCCAGGCACCCCTTGTCTTGTTCTTTTTATTCAGGCTTCCAGCCTAGGTCAAGCTCTCATTACTTGCCTAGAATATTGCAAAAATATCAATTTATACCCATCATCTAGTTTTAAAGCCCTTCATATCTAAGACCCAAATCATCTTTCCAGCCTTAATTCTGAAACATCTTATATTTCAATTAAACTACAATTCTTCCTGTGACCCAACCACTTTCTGCCTTTTCCCATCCTGTACTTTTGTTCTCTTCTTTCTTTTCCTTTTATTTTGAACCATGACTTTGAGTCAACAATCTCCTTCCACCTATTAAGTACCATCTTTAGAGAAGTAAGAGGACTAAAAACAAATAAAATATAAGTCCCTCTCATGTATTTATTTTGTGAATTTTACACCAAATACATCTAGAGAAGTGAGACTTTTTTAAAATAAAAAGTGACTTGAAAACTCTATCAACAACTAATTTCCCTGTGGCTCTTCTCATTATTGCTGGTTTAGGGGATGATTATATGAATGATATACTTCAAACTTTCTTTTATAGTAACATTACTACATCACATTACTATGTAAGCAACTTGTTTAAATAAAAAGGTTACAAAGTATTTTCTGTATCAATGAAGATAATCTTTCCTCCTGAATAGCCACCTGCTCCTGGAAGTTGAGCTGTCACTAGGAAGCAATTAAAAAAATGAAATAATATTAATAGAATTGAATAAACTTTGCACAAGCAAATATATAAATTAACAGGATTAATGTTGGTTGCAAACCTTTTGTCAATATGGCAAAAAATCATGATCCTTTAATTTCTAAACAGCATGTTATATTTTTATATTACTAACCAGTTGTAAAACTATAAGTATTCTATCAGCATGATAATTCAACAAAGAATGTCCATATCTCTCACAATCTTTAGTTCTCCTAAAGAATAGAATTTAAATATTACTTTTTTCCTATAAGAAATAATCACAAATATAATTTATGCTATATAGCCCATTTGAGTCACCTTTCAATTAATGCATGTCAAAATTTAAAATGCATTTTCTTTATAGGCATTAGTAATTGACACAAAGGAATTTCTTTATATTAGAATCATTGATTATTTCATTTATTTTTCAAGACAACCCTAACTTTGGCACTATCATTATGCCTATTTTACTGATGGGGAAAATTCAAAAGGTGAAGAATTTGCCCAAGGTCACACAGTTATTAATGGTAGAGCCAAGACTGGGGCCAGGTGCTTTGATTCCAGAATCTACTTCTTTTCTTTCTTTCTTTTTTTTTTTTTTAAAGATTTTATTTATTTATTTGACAGAGAGAGAAATCACAAGTAGGCAGAGCAGGAGGCACAGAGAGAGGGGGAAGCAGGCTCCCTGCTGAACAGAGAGCCCGATGTGGGGCTCCATCCCAGGACCTAAGCAGAAGGCAAAGGCTTAACCCACTAAGCCACCCAGGCGCCCCCAGAATCTACTTCTTAACTGCTTGGCCATGCTCCTTCTGCTTAGGTCAAAGAAATGTGGAGTAACATCTTTGTACAAAAGGAGGTATTTTTGTTTATTCTGTTTTAGAAAAATTTATTTTTAAGTCTTTCCTAAGGCCAACTTTACTTCATGGAAAGTTAGAGATTCTAGGCCTCAACTGATTTGGGGACATTCTTGTTGATAGAATATAGAAAAGATGGATTGGGAAAAATGGAGACAGTGAGGGCCTCTACCCACCACCAGCACTACACTCATATACCCATTCACTTCCTCCTGGTTTCCATTCAGGTGTTCAGAGCGCAGAGTGCAGCACATACAACATTACCTCAAGCGTCAAACATTCAAAGACTGGCTTTGGTATTTGTGTAACCATAGGCAGGTTAGTTTCCTTGCAAATTCCAGATTACCTGAGATTATATAAAGTACCAGGCACAAAGTACATTAGTAAGTGACTGCTATGATTATTATCGTTATTGTGGTTGTTATGTATCCTTACCACAGAGGGTATGAGAGAGCTGGGTTTTTCCAGTACGAAATTCTGTGAAATATAGAAAAAAGGAAAACCACATAGTTAATTTCTAGCTATTTTCATAAAGAACAAAATACAGTCTCAGAGTATGATTTTCTTTCCAACTGTCAAATCTTACACCTAAAGTACCACTGTGTCATGGATGAAGCCGGCAATACAAGGTGTTTGCTCATAGAACTGTCCTTTAGAAAAAATTTATTTAAACCAAGTTTTCCCTAGTCATTGTGAGATAATGGAAAAGAGGACATGGAAGCTCCACCCCTCTTCCCTCATACCTTCTCCTACTCATTTTTCCCCTCTAAATGTTAATCTGTAGCCTTTATCACGTTGTTTAATAAAATGGTAAACATGAGTGAGTGTTTCCCTGAGTTCAGTCAGCTGCTTTAACAAACTAATCAAACCCAAGGAAGGGGACACTGGAACTTTGGACCTACAGCTGTTTGTCAGAAGCACAGGTTTAATCTGGGCTTGTGACTGGCCTCTGAAGGCGGGGGATTCTTATGGGACTGAGTCCATACTTAGCCTGTGGAATCTGGCACTGTCTCTGGGTAGATAGTGGCAGAATTGACTTGAATTCTTGAATACCATGCAGGTGTCCAAGAATTGCTTGTTGTTGTCGGGGGAAATGTCCATATATTTGGTGACCAGAAGTGTCAGAAGTGAAGTGTTTGTGTGAATAGTAAAAGAGACTCACAGGAAAAAAAAAATACACAGTAGGAAAGAACTGGGTTTTCCCTATATAGGGGAAAAAACACGAGTTTTTTCATTTTAGTCATAGAAATGAAAGTTTAAGACCCTACCACAAGGAAGGAGAGCCTGGGGTCGTCCCACTGTACTGAGATCCTCAAAGGAAGGCTGAAGTAGTCTCAGACTGGTGGCATGCCCTACCTTCCAACAGAAGCAAATTCTCTTCTGGAGAAAAACTTCCCCACTCACCAGTTTAGGTCCAGTGAGCTCCCATAGATCAAAATCAGGCAATAAGCTCAGAAATATCAATAAATACACAAGAGAGCAAGCCATTCAACCCTGACAGTTGACAGGAATAATAAAAAGCAGATTTATTTCTCTATGTCAACAGAAATATCAACAACAACCACAAAAAACAGACTAGTTCCCCAAGGATTGCAGATACTGGAGCTGCAAGGCACAGCATACACAATACCTGTGTATAAATTGTTATGAAGAAAAATAGAGGGGCCCCTGGGTGGCTCAGTTAGTTGAGTGGCTGCTTTTGGCCCAGGTCATGATCTCAGGGTCGTGGGATGAAGCCCTGCATTGGGTTGGGTTCCCAGCTCAGCAGGGAGTCTGCTTCTCCCTCTCCTTCTGCTACTCCCCCTACTGTGCTCTCTCACTCTCTTTGTTAAATAAATAAATAAAATCTTAAAAAAAAAAAAGGAGAAGAAAAATAGAAGATAGAATCAGGGAAGAAAAAAATCTACTATGTCCATGGAACATGCATATCCTAGAAATAAGATTGGTCTCATTACCCAACTACCTTCTGAAGGACTTCTTTTATGGAAGTCAGAGATTAAAAAAATGACAAATGCCAACAGGACCTCTCTGTTAATGATGGAATGTCTTTTAAGCTCAGGGTGATCCTGTATTATAATTGAGATTTCAACATAAGTTTCAAAGTAGATATACAATGTACTATTGGTTGTTTTTAAATTATATATGTATGTGTGTATATAATTTCTTTCATATAACAAAATAGTAAGGTTCTACTTACCTCCAAAAGCTTCTGTGATTGCCATGCTTTCAATTCCACCTCCTAGCAACTTACTGGAAATAAAAAGTAAGCATTCGTAAAAGGAACAGAAACAGAGAGATCAAGAAAGGAGAAAGTGTACCATTAATGTCATATCTGTCTCTCTCTCTATCCACCATGGACAGGAATTCTTGGCGGAACAAATGACATGCTAACTCTTCAGAACACAGATTCTGCTGTATACGGGCAGTGGATCAACAAAAGATAAAAAAAAATCTTTTGTTGTTCTTGCTCTAGCTTCTAGGTACCAATAGGAAATGGGCTACATAGGCTTAGGTCTCATCATTCTTTAGAACTGAAGCTTGAGCAAATGGTTTTAGTTATTAACTGGGTTGTTCACATTGTGCTTGGGACTGTGTTTCTAAAAGTCAACTGAATATACATTCAGTGGGAGAACAGATAAGAAACGGTAATAAGTAATAAGCAAAATATGTGGTAAGTCAGATGTTATTAAATTTATGAATAAAAATTAGATCCAGAAAGGAGATAAGAAGTGCAGAGGATGAAGGCAGGGAGTTTATTTATTTATTTTTTTAAGATTTTATTTATTTGACAGACAGAGATCACAAGTAGCAGCGAGGCAGAGAGAGAGGAAGGGAGGCAGGCTCCCCACTGAGCAGACAGCCTAATGCGGACCTCGATCCCAGGACCCTGGGATCGTGACCCGAGCCGAAGGCAGAGGCTTTAACCCACTGAGCCACCCAGGCGCCCCAAGGCAGGGAGTTAAATAGTTAAATAAAGTGACCAGAGAAGACCTCATTGAGTAGATATTTTAGCCAAGATCTAAAAGAGGTAACAGCAAGCCAGGTAGATATAGGAGGAAAAAGTGTTCCAGGCAGAAGAAATGGTAAGTGCAAAAGCCCCGACACAGGAGTGTATCTGGCATGTTCTAGAAATAGCAAAGAAATCAGTGTGGTTGGTGCATAGCAAACTGAAAAAAGGATAAAAGATGAGATTAGATTAGAGAGGATTTTGGCTTTTGCTCTGAAATGAGGAGTCATTAGAGTAGTTTTGGGCAGAGAAATGTCATGATCTGACCTAACTGGTTTTTGTTTGTTTGTTTGTTTGAAGAGAGTTGGGGGAGGGGCAGAGGGAGAGCATCCCAAGCAGACTCCCCGCTGAGCACGGAGCCTGAGAACACGGAGCTCAATCCCCTGACCCTGAGATCATGATCTGGGCCAAAAACAAGAGTTGAAGGCTCAACCAAATGAACCACCCAGGGGCTCCTGACTTAAGTTTTAAAGGGATCATTCTGGCTCCTGTGTGAAGAATAAATACTAGGGGCAAGGTCTGAAAAAGAGAGAGGTTAGAAGTTATTATACTACTCCAGAGACAAAGTTAATAGGTAATTTAAACTAGTAAGGTAACAGTGGAGGAGGTGGTGGAGAATTAATTGAATTCTTATTTCCTCTTTTTTTCTATACACACACACACACACACACACAGGAAAAAGATATAAACATTATAATGGAAGGTTTCAAACATAAACTAAAGTGGACAAAACACTATAATAATGAGCCATCAAAGGGCACCCGGGTGGCTCATTGGGTTAAAGCCTCTGTCTTCGGCTCAGGTCATGATCTCAGGGTCCTGGGATCGAGCCCCGCATCGGGCTCTCTGCTCAGCAAGGAGCCTGCTTTCCTCTCTCTCTCTCTGCCTGACTCTCTGCGTACTTTGTGATCTCTGCCTGTCAAATGAATATATAAAATCTTAAAAAAAAATAACGAGCCATCACGTACCTCTCACTTAGCTTCAACTATTATCAACTATGAACTCATGGTCAATCTTTTTTCATATAAACCTCCAACTACTTCCTTCCCTTTTCCTGTTATTTTAAGCAGATACAGGACAACATATCATTCATCCTAAATATTTCAGTAACTATCTCTAAAAGACGTATGCTCTTTTTTTAAACATAATCATATCATCATTATTACCTAAACAAGTAGTAATTCCTTAATAGCAACTATACAGTAGGTGTTCAATTTTCCAACTATCTCGTATATAGCTTATTTTTTAATACTGTGCTTGAATCAGGATCCAAATGAAATCTACATATTGGGGATTAGGTAATATGTCTTTTAAATCTCTTTTAATCTCTAGGTCTTCTCCTTGACTGCATCTGTTTTTTGATTCTTTGTAATTTATTTGTTGAAGAAACTGGGTGGTTTGTTGTAGAAGGTAGAGCACACTCTTAATGAGCAAGAGTTAGGGTGTGAGATGAAAAAAAAAAACCAAAGTGCCAAGGACGACACCAAGGTTTTAGTTCTGAGGATTAGAAAAGAGGCAAATCCGAGAGGAGGGAGGCTTTGGGAGGTGCAGATCTGGGACAAATAACAGAAGTTTGGATTTGGACCTGTGAAGTCTGAACTGCCTGGGAGACATCCAACTGGAAGCAATATTTGACTATGAAATCCTTTTTTCTTGGAATACCTTATGAGGACAGGGTTTTGAGGAATAGTTTGTAGAAATACTGCTTTTGTTCAAATTGCTCTTGGCCACTCGTCTAACCTATGAACTAGTAATTCTGCCTAGGAAGGTAAGGGGAAAAAAAAACACAACTTAGTCAACTTGCATTAGGAAGATGATAACTATGTCTTAGGAATCTTGAGATAGTAAATAAAAAGGGAAGTTAAAGCAGCTGATGCTAAAGAGAAAAAAATAACCCACTGGATTATTTCTTCTAAAATATTCAACCTAAACAACTGATTTTTAAGTAAAACCAAAAGTGAGATGGAATCTCCTTTATCAACAAGGAGAAAAGAAAATGAAAAGTTAAACTGATTCTCAAGACAGGTTTTTAAAATACAGGCTGACTCAGAAACTACTTATATTTTGGGTCTGAATTTCTTGTAACAAATTTAATCCTGCTTCTACAAATTGTCTGGAATTTGTTTGCTTCAGTAGACTTTTGGAAGAAAAAAAACCATACAAAAAGAAGCTATTCCTAACAAACTCAAGAAAAGAGATACAACAGTCCAAAGATTGTGTCTAGTGGTCATAAAAAATATGAGGTACACACTCAAATTCCTGGCTCCCAGTGGTGATATGGAAAACCATCTTTCTCTTCTCACTGTACTCAAAGGCAGTCAAGAATCCTGGCTCCTACAAAAAGACAAAAGGAAAGGTTCAAAGGGGTATAAGATGATAGTTTCATTTCAAATGCTGCCCCAAACTCCACTTGATTATCAGGGTAATCATTTGATATGAGCTACAGTTCATTAGTCTTTGAAGGCAGCAAAAGATCGTGGTTAAGAAAACTGACTCTGAAGCTACCCTATCTAGGTTCAAAATAAGTGTCTAAAACTTATTAGTTGTATGATTTGGGGTAAACTACTTAATTGTGCTGTTTCTCAGTTTCCTTGCTTGGGCCAAATCAGGATAAGAACAGTGATAAGTCAATCAGAGAAAGACAGTTATCATATGATCTCCCTGATATGAGGAATTTGAGAGGCAGAGTGGGCGGTTTGGGGGGTAGGGAAGGAAAAAAATGAAACAAGATGGGATCAGGAGGGAGACAAACCACAAGAGATTCTTAATCTTACAAAACAAACTGGGGGTTGCTGAGGGGAGGGGGGTGTGGAGAGGGTGGTTGGGTTATGGACATTGGGGATGGTATGTGATATGGTGAGTGCTGTGAAGTGTGTAAGCCTGATGATTCACAGACCTGTACCCCTGGAGCAAATAATACATTATATGTTAATAAAAATTATTTTTTTCAGGACGCCTGGGTGGCTCAGTTGGTTAAGCAGCTGCCTTCGGCTCAGGTCATGATCCCAGCGTCCTGGGATCGAGTCCCACATCAGGCTCCTTGCTCATCAGGGAGCCTGCTTCTCCCTCTGCCTCTGCCTGCCATTCTGTCTGCCTGTGCTTGCTCTCTCTCCCTCTCTCTCTCTCTGACAAATAAATAAATAAAATCTTCAAAAAAAATTATTTTTTTCAAAAAGAATAGTGTCTCTCTCATAGGGTAGCTGTAAAGTTTAAATGAGGTATATTTATGGCATAAAGCAGAATGGTATTTTACCGAATGACTCAATTGATTTCATTGAACAGCATCATTTTCCATTCGCTCTGGAAGTTTCAAGGAGCACAGAAATTCCAGTGTTCACTATTCACGAGACAATATATATTGCAATGGTAGAAATACTACTTATTTGACAAATCAATGAGCTGTAGCTGATGCAGTAATCTAACTAGCAAGAAGAGGCCCGATGTGCTCTCATGACATGGTCTAATGTATTCCCCTTAAAATAAGAAGATTTTATTTATTTAAGATGGAGAGAGAGAGAGAGAGAGGCATGAGCACAAGCAGCAGGGAGGGGCAGAGGAAGAGGGAGAAGCAGCCTCTCTACTAAGCAGGGAGCCCGATGCAGGACTTAATCCCAGGACCCAGGGATCATGACCTGAGCCACCCAAGTACCCCTAATGTATTTCCCTTTTTGTTTTATACTATGACAGTGGCTTTCAAACTTTGGAGAACTTAAGAGGGGTGTTAAAAAAAAAGCCCAGGCCGGGGTACCTGGATGGCTCAGTCAGTTAAGTGTTTGATTCTTGATTTTGGCTCAGGTCATGATCTCGGAGTTGTGGGAGAAAGCCCCACATCAGGCTCTGGGCTGGGCGTGGAGCCTGCTGGGGATTCTCTCTCTTCCTCTCCCTCTGCCCCTCCCCCATCCTCTAAAATAAATAAATAAATAAAAAGTTTAAACTCACAATTATTTTATTTTATTTTATTTTATTTTATTTATCTGACAGAGAGAGACAGTGAGAGAGGGAACACAAGCAGGGGGAGTGGGAGAGGGAGAAGCAGGCTCCCCGCAGAGCAGAGAGGTCAACACTGGGTTTGATCCCAGGACCCCAGGACCACAACCTGAGCCAAAGACAGACACCCAACAACTGAGTCACCCAGGCGCCCTAAACTCACAACTCTTAAAAAAAAAAACAACAAACCAAACCAAACCCAGGCCTTCAATGAGTCTGGGACTATGTGTTCTTTATTAGCCAATCCAGGTCATTCTGATACACAACAATGTTTGGAACCACTGTACTATGAAATTAACTTCCTTTTTCTCTTCCCACCCCCCACCCCCCCAATCTCTTTCTCTCTAAGAATAAACAGCTTTAGTTAAGAAAGGATGCAGACTCTGGGTATAGTAATGGATGCTTGAGAAGGAGAGGGATTCTTTTCTTTGATAATGGGATTTAATTTGTAAAGAAAATAAGACTAATGCCGATGAGCTATAACGTGGCAGTTTTGCAAATTCTGGGTACTGCTTGAGGGCAGTTGTGGAGCTGGCCTGTGGTATACTGTCTGAATTTACTCAGAAGTTAGAGCAACTGAGCTCGGTTCAGAGCAGTTCGGTTAGGTGCTCTCCAAGTTCAGGACCATAGCACCGCTGTCATCACTGCCGCACTTCAGCTGCCTCTGGGTGAGCAAATCAAATGGACTTGCTGGGAATGAGACTCTTACATACATATGTAGACATACATGGAGAGCCTTGTTCTTCTGCAAAAAGAGAGACTGGTGACTCTGCACATTCCTGTTTCCAACGATAGTGCCTCCACAGAACCCCCAAAAGGTCAACACAAAAGCTCGAGTCAAAGACATGTTTTTGCTTGGAGCCTCTTCGTTGCATGGGCCACTCAGTGTGTGTGGGCCGGCTACAAGGTGTGAGTTCAGCTCAGCTTTAACTCATCTGCCTCAGTGACCATATTCTTGGTCATATTTTTCTCAACCGTACACATGCAGATCCACACTTAGTTTTTTTCTAACCCGATGCTCTCTTACTAATTGGCCTATACCAGGAGACAGCAACTTCTTTGGTGCTAGTGCTTTGCAACAACCAAAGATACAATATTTGAGGAGACAAAGCGAAAACAAGGAGGAGTTAAGGCAGAGAAACAGAAAGGGAGAAAAATAAATATAAAAGGAGACCAAAAAAAATTTTTGATAAAAATAATTACCTTTTTAGTAGTATTCAAGTCTCTTAACACCTGTCTCAGTCTGTCAAAAATTAATTGTTGTTGCTTTGAAACTGAAGTGATAAAAAGTTAATGTGAGGGGGTATAATAGATTGTGATCTACAGAAATTTGGGGTCCCCACAGTAGTTTCTGGTGTTCATGAGAAGTGTCAAAGGTCCAATGAGAAAGGCTATAGAGCCTCACAGACCCTTCTAAGCTAAAACAACAAAGAACTGATTTTGCTTACAATGAGTTTGTTGGCCGCCTCTTTAATTTTGTCCACTTTTGCTTCTGAGAGCCCTTTGACATTGCATAGTGCTCTTCTAGTTGTCATCTGTATCCCTTTGATGGTACAGATTCCTACGGACTTCAGTTTCTTAATGTCAGCCACGTTCTGTAAATAAAAGAATGGGTGCAGCAGATTGATAAAATGCCAGCCTGCAAGGCTCCCATACTATGTCATGTGCTTTTGAGTCCATCTCCTTCCACCAAGATGCCAATTTTATCCAAGCAGCCAGGTGGAACCCACCCACCATGTAGCCAAATGTTCTGGAAATATCTGAGTAGAACATATCCAGCACGCTGCCAAATGTTCTGGCTGTGCCCTGATTTCCCAAGAATGTTAGTGAGACCATGGCAATGTAACAAGGAATTCAAAAGAGAAGTCTGTTGGTGGAAAAGCTAGCGAATGTATCACACGTTCGCCCCCTCAGTTCATCTCTTTCCTTCTAGAGAACTTCATTATGATTATGTTCTTTTAAAATTAAATTTTTCCCCCTCGATCCTTGGAAAATGCAAATAACTACATCACCAAAGAACTAGGATTTTCTCTTGCTCCTATTTTCTAAATCCAACTGAAAGAGATTAAATGTGAGGGCTTCAAAAGATAATGTCAGGGAAGTTTTACTATCAGTGAACTGCTGCTGAAATGCATCTACTTAAAGTCTGATTTCAGTCAACATTATTTACTCTGATCATCTGCCACAGAACTGAATTTTTTGTTGATGAAGACAGAGGTGGGTAGCTCTGAATGCCTCCAGTTGGACCAGTGGTTCTTGGCTGGGGACAGTATGCCCCCTTAGGACACCTGATAATGTCTGGAGAAATTTCTGGTTGTCCTAACTAAGAGGGGTGTTACTGGCATCTAACGAGTGGTCAGGAGCCAGGGGTGCTGTAAACACGCAACAAATGCACAGGAAAGTCCCCTCCCCGCCCACTAAGAATTGCCCATTCCCAAATGTCAGTAGGGTCAAGGCTGACAAACTCCGAATTGAACAATTTCACATTGAAAAATTACTTACATGGAAAATTGAAAAAATACTTACAATCCCATGTTTTTGTAACAGGTCAATGTCTTGAAACAAAGATTCCTGGAGGAGATGGAACAGAAAAAAAGGGAGCTTTGATTCTTCATATCCAATTGTATCATATCTTTTAAAGAGTTAATTCAGTATTATGAGTCACTCCAAAATGCCTCAAATTCCACTTTCCTAGACAGAGCGAGTTGGGATCAATAATGTTTTTTCAAACACATTGTTATATACTTAGAAGATGCACCAACACTGAAAGGGTTGGGAAGCCCAGTATTTTTGTCGTGTCCTGTCCAGATTTTTAAGACCTTAACCCAAAGGAGTGGAACAACATTTAACCTCTTTACTTTTTTTAAAAAATTTATTTATCTGATAGACAGAGATCACAAGTAGGCAGAGAGGCAGGCAGAGAGGGGGAAGAAGGCTCCCCGCTGAGCAGGGAGCCTGATGTGGGGCTCGATCCCAGGACCCTGGGATAATGAACTGAGCAGAAGGCAGAGCCTTTAAACCACTGAGCCACCCAGCCGCCCCAACATTTAACCCTTTTAAAAATATGTTTTCTCAACTTTTTGCCCCACCAGACCTTGAATTCCTTCAGTACCAGCATGGATTGATACCATTATGGCCATACCAGTTAGGTTATTAAAATACTTTCATGCTAGTTGCTAAGTAGCTAGTCTTAGCCCCCCTTGCCAAACAAGTCGTTACATATTTGTAATATTGCCTCTCCCTAGCACTATGTTTTCTTTCCACTCTCAGTTTCTAAAAATAATAGCCAACAAAGCAGGAACTTCATTTTTGTGGAATGACTGAACGTCTGCCCATGTTTCGGCATTCTAGCCATACCTCTTCATCTTGGAATCCTGGTTCTTCCAGCACGACTTGATCCTCCTTCATCTTGAAAGGTGAGCAGCAGAAAAATAATCAGTTCTAGGAAAATAAATATTATTTAGGAAGTAGTCATAGATCAAAATCCTTTGCTCAGAGACCTCCCTGATTTCATTTCAAAGTCACCAAGGACCAGAAGAGGAATTAGAGAAACATTTCATTTAGAATGACTGGGCTGGTCTATCTGCTTTCTGCTGGGCATGTGACATTGTTTCTTTTGTGGGTGTGTGTATGTGAGGGTGGGGAACTTAGTTTCTACTCCTTTTCCTGAAAATTGGTTACTTTTCTCATCTTTTGATTTCTTAAAGCACAGATATCATGACTGCTAATATCTTTTTTGTTGTCTTGGAATACTATTTAGTATTCCATGTTGCTGTTTAACCTTTCATGTTTATGTTAACAATACCAATTTTGTTAACAACACGAATTTTGACCTCTTGTCATTCTTCCTGTATCTCTTCTGGCTCCCAGAACTTAGTCTAGCCTCAATCAATAGATTTTAACTTTCTCATATACAATGAATGCCTTCCTGCTTCCTAATTATGAATGGGCTCTTTTGCAACATATTTCTTTGTTTCTTAAAACATTAGCTCTATTTTGTTTTGTAATATTTACTAGTCTCAAAATTTTTTAAAGACTTAAAATTATGGTAGATACCCAATATTATGATAACACGAGGGCCAATAAGCAGATAAATGGAGTCTTAAACATTGTAGTAGTTGTTCTAAGATCTCGGGAATCTACAAGGCATGGCCATAGTATACAATGTGGTCCAAGCAATCAGTTTTCTTGGTTTATTGTGTTTTCTCGCTTCCTACCAAAGTCACTGTTGGGGCCCAGTGGAAGGGACACCGACTACTACAGTAGAGGTATGATTGCTGTCACCTAATTCCGCGGAGCAGCACAGTATCTGAGGCAAAGAGGAGACAACGTGAATGGGATCTTCGGGAATACTGTCCCTCAGACAGGTAAACTTATATAGGACGATCCTAAATTCCACCCTGCCCTCATGGAAGAAAAAAATCGTTCATTTCTTCTCGCCTTGATAAAACGAAAGATAGTTCTTTCTCAAGTGGCCATGGATGGATGTTAGAGCTGGATCCTAAAAGCAGGCTCCCTGCCACCTCGGCTTCAGGCGTCGCAGCTGGGGAGCCGCCATGGGCATCTTCCCGACACCCGGTTCCCCCCAAACGAGGCCGAGGAGGCCGAGTGAAGACTTAGGTCCGACTTGCTTTAAAATAATGCTGCCGGAAATCCCTCGGGGTCACTGAGATTTCCTCCCGCGGGTGGGGACAGAATGCAGAAAGTCACCAGCCCAGGGCCCAGCGACGACCACCAAGCCCCACCAAAGGAAGGAAGCCTTGGCTTTCCCCTCACATTCTTCACACGCTCGCCCTTTTTGCCACAGACCCCGCTCGTACCTACAGTCCCGCGAGGTTTTCAAGGTCACTCCCTTCGGCCCCCCGCCCGGGCTTTCCCGTCCTCAGAGATTCTGACCCCGAACCAGAACGCTGAGACTGGCAGCCCTCGCGCCACTGACCAGCAGGTTTGGCGCCAACGGACGAGAGTCTGGGCGCCGGTCCAGCGTGGGCGGGGCCGGGCGATGACACAGGGGCGTGTCCACAGTGGGGGCGGGACATGGTGGGGGGGAGGCAGAGACCGGACGTGGAACAAGAGTGCGGGCCCTTACGGGGCGGGGCGGGGTGGGGGCGGGGCTTGCAGGGAGGCGGGGCGGGGCCCCGGTGGGGTAGGTATGGGGGAGGAGGAGCTAGGAGCCGCTTCCACACGAACCTCGCTGGAGCGCCCGATGGGGAGAGGGAGGGATTCTGAGGCAGAGGAAATGTTATGAGGAGAGGGACCCTGACACGAGCGGAGGCTGGGGGTCTCCATTGAGCTGAGGGAGATGCTGAAGTGGGGAGAAGACTCCAGGGTGGGGACCCTGAGGAGACGTGTGGAAATTAGGGGGCACTGAGGAGGGCGCTGAAGTGAATGAAGACAGGCTGCTGTGAGAAAGAAGGCCCTAAGGTGGGGGTTGTTCGAAATGGAGAGAGGCCGCTGGGAAAGGGTCGTGAGGTGGACAACCAAGGCGGGGAGCGGGCCGTCAGCGAAGGTGGCTGACGGGGCGGCAGGTGCCGCGCAAAATGCTTGTCTTGTTGGGGGACCCTCAGGTCAGGAGGTGGAGTATGGGATCCTCACTGAGACCCCAGCATTCCTGATTTCCGTCCCTTCTCTGTGGCTCCCGTACCATCAGCCGCTCGCTCTCTGGCAGTGAGGCACCCAGGGCCCATTCAGGATGGAGAGTAATTTTTCTGCGTCTGAACTTGAAATTTTAAATAGACAACAGAAGCCAAGCATATTTTGGTCCAGCTTTTAAATAGAAATATGGGGACCGCCTTCTTGCCAGCACGGCCGTCTCTGGCGGCGTCATCCTGCTCCCCTTAAATGGAGACTGACTGTTGACGAGAGAGTCATGAAACATTTGAGAGAGCATCTGTTGAGGTGGAGGCTAGCATGGGTGTCTGTGCAAACAGTTCTCGGAGTTCAAGACCTAGTACAGGACGACCCTTTTTCTTCAGTGTCTGAATCATTTTGTTGGAATAAATAGAAAAAAAAAAAAATTCCCACAATAGCAGTTGGGATTTTGTAGGACATTTTTTTCCCCCTCAGAGTGGATTGTTTAAAAAGCCAACAAATAACTACTGTAGCTCCTTCAAGATCTTACTTTCCAGAAACAGAGCCTGTCCTTCGTGTTAAATGGAAATCAGTGCCCGGTCTGGGGATGGACGAACTGGATAGAGGTGATAGGCCTTCACCTTGACACCTCACCTAATGATTGTAGAACTGTAGAGCAGCTCCTTAGGTGAGGACACCCAAGTGTATGGAAGAGCTGCAAAGAGCACAGCAAGACGATTTAGGGAAATCTAACATATGCAGTTTGGTGTAGTGACAGCTGGGAGAGAGAAATGTTCATAATATTTGAAGGTTGTGTGCACTACACTTAAAGAAACAGAAATGAGCTTGGGAATGACAAATTCATAAAATGAGGATAAAATTCGTGTTTGGATATGGTAATGATGGTTATAGGCAACTTAAAAAAAATTTTTAACCCAAAAGCTGTGGGTAGTTAAAAAGTATACTTGAAGACATCCACTCAAATCAGGCCCCCCCCCCAAAAAAAGGACTAGCCTTTCATATCATATAAAAATTCTGAATATGATGATGGTGATATTTCAGATCAGTGGGGAAATGATGAATTCAGGGAATGGTGCTGGAACAACTAGGTAGCCATCTGGAAGAAAAATAAAATTGGAACCCTACTTCACACCTTATACCAAGATAAATTCCAGATGGATCAATGGATTAAATCTGAATGTAATAACAAATGTGCTAGAAGAAAATGAGACAATTTTTTAATTATCCCAGAATAAGGAAAATCTTCTTAAATATGACACAAAATTCAGAAGCCATAAAATACTTATAAAAATGACTACTTAAAAAAAAAAACCCTGCATTGTAAAATGCTACTTTCCTATTTTAGATATAGAGTATGGGGAGCCAGAGCTTTTGTATCAATCAGTAACTAATTAGTAATTGTGTCAAACAGCTTTCCCAATTTCTCAAATCCTTCGGTGAGTCTATAAATCCTCTACAAAATTTTTAAAATTTCATTTTAATGGTATTCTGAAAACAACTAGGCAGCGGGAGTACCTGAATTTTAAACCATTACACTTTACTGCCCCTCTGTGGACAACCGCCTTATAATCAAAAAAAGTCATATGATCCCACTGTCTGCAGTCGGGTTTCCTCAAACTGGTGCCTGTGGCTGTATGTTCTTGGAGTTTCAAGAGCTCAAATATGAGAAATGCTTTGGTAGAGAACTTAAGAATGAAAGATCATCACACAAAAAGAATTTCACTGAGTATCTCCCCTTCAACAAATTTAATCCGTTCAAAAGATGTTTATTGAATCTCTACTATTTGTCAGACACTGCGCTAAGGGTTATGTACCGGGGATGCAACAACCAACAAGATACAAACCCTAATGGGGGCTATAGATTGGTATGTATATAGGCAATTACTATAGGCAATTACAGTGAAACACACACACACACACACACACACACACACACACACACACACTCACCCCCGACTCTCACACACACACACACACACACACATCAGTCATTTGGGGGCTTTCTCATTTATTTATATTTATTTCCAAATTTGAAAAACTTCCAACTTCAGCACATAGCTGCCCAGAGATGCATGCCCCTGACAAGTTATTTAACCAATATTTACTAAACATAGCTTGATGGGGTGCCTGGGTGGCTCAGTCAGTTAAGTGTCTTGCCTTTGGCTTGGGTCATGATCCCAGGGTCCTGGGATCAAGCACCATTTCTCCCTCTCCCCCTGCTTGTTCTCCCCCCACCTCTCTCTCAATAAAATAAAATCTTTAAAAATTAATAAGCACAGCTTGATTCCAGCTTTCTGCTGGATAAGGAGATGAAGACAGGTCTCTGCCCTTCAAGAGCCATGAGTGTAGTAAGGGAGATAGACACTGAAACATAATCACACACAGGGCAAGGTAAGAGGGATTATACGTGCATTTAGGTAACAGGTAGGTGTCTCACTGCACGATCTTCCCAGAGGAGGTGACACTTAATTTGGGGCTGCGAGGACAAGGGAGGATTTGCCAGCTGGGCAGGGTGGGAAAGGCAGAGGCAACACAGAGGCTTATTTAGGGAAATGCGAGTGGTTCTGCTGGGGTGGAAAAGTGCTAGGGAGAAAGTAGCTCTCAAAAGTGCAGGACAGGGGGTGCGTGGGTGGCTCAGTGGGTTAAAGCCTCTGCCTTTGGCTCGGGTCATGATCCTAGGGTCCTGGGATGGAGCCCCCAGTAGAGTCAGGCTCTCTGCTCAGCAGGGAGTCTGCTTCCCTTCCTCTCTCTCTGCCTGCCTCTCTGCCTACCTGTGATCTCTGTCAAATAAATAAAATCTTAAAAAAAAAAAAGTGCAGGACGGAAGCTAAAGGTAACATCTGATGACAGCCAACACTTAGAGCACTTTCTCCTTTCCACAGATTACTGCAACCCCTCATC